CACTGAGCCACAGCCCTAGCTCATTTTTATTTTTTATTTTGAGGCAGGGTCTCACTAAGTTGCCTAGGCTGGCCTCAAATTTGGATCCTCCTGCCTCAGCTTCCTCAATCTGTGGGATTATGCACAGGGAACTTTAAGACCTCATTTCAGATAGGAGTTCCATGTTCCTTCCCTCTCCATTCGATTCTAAAATCAGAGCTCGAGCCAGTTACTAAAAATGATCCTATTTTTTTCCTCTTTACTCTGCTGAAAGTGATGGAGTGAAATGGGATGTTTAGGAAACTGGCCCCCTATATGGAACTGTTGGTATTTGAAAAATATATTTTATTTACTATTCCCAAATGATTGTTTTAACAAAACAAGCATACGATAGAAACAGTAATCTGTCCTCTAATGGATGCCTGAAAACTCAGATGGTATCAAGATCCATATTTTTTTTCCTGTACTTACATACCTATGACAAAGTTTATCAATTAGGCACAGTAAGAGATTAAGAATAATAATAAAACAATTATAACAATACACAGTAATAAGATGGCCACCTCACTACACTTATACTCTGTTTTTTTTGTTTTGTTTTACTTTTTTCTTTTTTTTGGTATGAGACCAGGTGTCACTATATTGTCCAGGCTGGCCCCAAACTCCTACGTCCAGGCGATCCTCTTGCCTCAGCTCTCTGGTAACTGGGACTATAGTTAGTTACTACTTCCTACCATATCTGACTTCAGCTTTGTTATTAAGCAAAATAAGGTTTATTGAAACATAAGCACAGCAATACCATAGCAGTTCATCTGATAACCAAGATCCAGATAGTCACTAAGTGACGCACAGATAGATAGTATATGCAGGTGGATACACTAGACAAGGGGATGATTCAGGTCTCGAGCTGGATGGAGTGAGACACTATAAGATCTCATGACAGCATTTAGAACAGTACACAATTTAAACTTATGAATTCTTTCTGGAAGTTTTCATTTAATATTTTCAGACCATGGTTGACCAAAGAGAACTGAAACCAAAGATAAGGGAGGGCTATTATACTATCAGTTGGAAGAGATCTTTAATAAACAGCAAAGTACCTCTATTCCAAGGGGTATCGTAAAATCCTCAAGATAGAGGCTGGGGATGTGGCTCAGTGGTAGCAAACTTGCCTATCCTGTGTGAGGCACTGGGTTCAACCCTCAGCACCATATAAAAATAAACAAATAAATAAATAAAGGTATTGTATCCATTAACAGCTTAAAAACATACTTTAAAAAAATCCTCAAGATAGAATTTATTTGAAGGGAACACTCACTGTGGCACTTTCTGGGAGGAGGGGAAGAAGCTATTGAAATGTACAGTATCCAGCACGGCTCCCTCATAGAGCCAAGGAATGAGTGGTACCCGAGCAGATGAGTGTAGCTGTGTTAACTGTGTGAGATAAGATTGGGTGGGGGAGGGAAGCAAAGATTGTGGCAGAGGGAAGCAAAGTTTCACTGAAATTTAGCTGGCAGTTTCTCTAGTCCGTTTTCTCTATTTGGTAAAACACAGTATTCCAACCTCCCCCCAAAAAACATTAGTTTTAACAAGAGAATAAAACTGTCATTGTTCATTGAAACAGCATGTCCCCATTCTTAGTCACCACTTCTATTTCAACTTGCCTTATCTAATTGCTGCTTCCTGGTGAAAGTACTAAAGATTTCATTTTAAACATCTTTTATACAAAAACAAAATGAGTCATTCAAAGTGTTATATACCTGCTCAAGCAATCCATTTAAAATAAAGGATTTGTTTGATGTTTGTTTTATTCATTTATTTATTTATTTGTGGTACTGGAGATTGAACAAGAAGCACTCTATCTCTAAGCCACATTCCTTGCCCTCTTTTTTAATTTGTTTTTTTTAGTTGTAGATGAACACAATACCTATATTTTATTTATTTACTTATTTTCACGTGGTGCTGAGGATCAAACCCAGTGCCTCACACATGCTAGGCAAGTGTTCTACCACTGAGCTTCAACTGCAGCACCATCCCCTGCCCTTTTTATTTTGAAACAGAGTCTTGCTAAGCTTCTGAGGCTGGCCTCAAACTTGAGGTCTTCCTTCCTCGGTCCTTCCTCAGAGGAAAAGTTTATTTGAGGGCTCATGGTTCCAGAAGTCTCAGTATATAGGTAGCGGGCTCCATTCCTCAGGTCTTTAGGTAAGGCTGAACATCATGGCAGAAGAGTGTGGCAGAGAGAAGCAGTTCACATGATCATCAGGCAGCAGAGAGAGAGACTCCACTCACCAGGTACAAAATATATACCTCCAATGCCCACTTCCTCTAGTCACACCCTTTTGGCCTTTAGTTACCACTCAGTTAAATCCCTACCAGGATTAATTCACCGATTGGGTTAAGATTCTCACAATCTAATCATTTCTCCTCTGAACCTTCTTGCATAGTCTCACACGTGAGCTTTTTGGGGATATCTCATATCCAAACCGTAACAAGAAGTAATGAAAACAGCTCACACAGGCAAAGGAACACAGACTGATAAGACAGCACTCCTTGTGTGGATCCAGGTAGGTATCAATAAATACTGTTCGTCAGCTTTCTGTCACTTTAACAAAATACCTGCGAGAAAAGGCTTACTTGGCTCACAGTTCTGAAGCTTCTGATCCAAGGTTAGTCAGACCTATTGCTTTGAGCCTATGTTGGGCATTCCAGGTGGCAAATGCAGAGAAGGCATACAGAGCAAAATGGCTTCAATCGTGAGCCAGGTGCAAGAGAGAGAGAGAAAGGGACTAGGGTTCCTTTGACCTCACTTTCTTCTTTGAGGACACATCCCCAATAACATAAGAACCTCCAGGGGGCTCCTCCTCCTAAAGGTCCACAGCACCTCCTAATAGCACTGCCATGGGCCTGTGGAGGGGTACCCAACATCCAAACTAAGGCACTCGGGTGTAGTCCAGGGGTAGAGTGAGAGCTTGCCCTGCATGCACAAGCCCTGAGTTCAATCTCCAGCCCTGAAACCATAGCAGATGTTTAGTAAATGGATGAATATTCCATTGGGGGGTGGACACAAAAAGATTACCTTTCTAGATCTTAGAATGGGAAACGAATTTCTTGCATTGGAAATGTGCTACCCTTTAATAAGTTGAATTTATATAACATAAGGAATAAAATAGTGGTGTTTTCCCCATGCAAATAGCTTCTTAATATCCTGACACTTGCACCATTTGTATTTTGAGGGGTGACCTGGTAAATGTTACACAGCAGTATTGATAACAGGAATAATTACCCAAATGGCTAATTTGAAAGCCACTCTCTAACTTATAGATTTTCGTTCATATTCTAAAAATTCTGTGTTTTCTAGATAGGAATGTATTTAGACAAACCACCACCAGGGATATCATTCTCCTTCCCCCAACCCTGAGTTTGAACAGGGAAGTAAAATTTCACTAACTCCACAGAACTGCCTATAGTTTTCACTTTAAATTTTGAATTTTTTATTTGGACCATCTGGATTTTTCTCATTGGTGTGTATTTCTTCTGTCAACATTTAGTAGGAGTTGAAAGTTCTTGAATGACTCTTCTGTCTAGATCAGACTCCTGCTGTCAGTAACATAATAACTGTTATTTCCATGGTAAGTGAAGTTTGGTGGTTAAAATATATACCAATATAGGATATTTCTTGGTTTGGGTTTGTCACAAAAGATCAAAAAGATTTAACTTTACATGACTAGATGATCTTTGAAAGACCATCAAGTCTTGATTACTTTGAACCGTAACCATAAAATTAAGATGTAAAGCCTCTAAATTTCCTGTAAAACTCAGTGGGGTTCTGGGGGTGTCATTCAGTGGTAGAGCTCACGCTTAGCTCTTAAATCCTGTGTTCCATTTCAGTCAAACTCATCTAAGCAGAATTCAGAAAGAAAGAAAATGCACACAGCCAACATAACTTCCATCTACAATTGTTTTAATCATTAAAAAAAAACCAAACTTTTACAAATAATTGCATTCAGGGACAGACTTTAAACCTAAATAGAAAAGTAAGATATACCTCAACATTGATCTCTGGAAATTCTAATTTGGCCCACATTTCCTTCATACTGGCCTGGTCTTAACTAAGCCAATACAGGATAGGATTCTTCCTGAGAGTTGGCAAAGATGTCATATTCCACTTTTTTGTCCAGAAATTGACAACTGTGGCTTTCAAAAATAAAAACAAACAAACAACAACAACAAAATAATGAGAAAAATTTAAGTTATTATTGGTCTGAAACCATTTATGTACTCCTGAATAAAAACAAGTTTGGATTTGTGGAATTCACTTCTAGGCATCCTTTCTGCTCATCTGTTGGCCTGTGAAGACTTTCAGTGGAAGAAAGAATAGGTCAAATTCAGATATGTCCATTTCATTATTGTCAGCCAAGGGCGGGCAGGTTGAATTCAAAGCCCCAGGCCACATGCAAGCTGAAAAGAGTTTATCTGATGAGTCCAGAGGAAAACAATGTTATAAATTGCTTATATGTCAAATAAAAAAAATTAAATATAGTTGCTCTAAATTGCTAATATAAAAATAGTTTCTGCTCCTATTCAAAACAGTTGCTTTAAAAAGTAGTATGTACTCTACTTTTTTAAAAAAGATTTTAAAGAAAACTTATGTATCCGCATCTCCTCCTGGATCAACCACCCAACTGTTGAGCCACACACAGCCATACACACTGCTGCAATCACAGGAAGCCTGAAGAAACCATTTCCAAACCCACTTGCCTGCTACTGAGTTCTGTGTGGCTGGCCTTATGCCAGTACCACATGGATGCCCTGTACCTGGTCATCTTCCCATCAGCCTTTAATAATTCTGTGCCCACTTTTGCCTAAAAAAAAAAATAAAACCAGGGAATACCTGGGTCAGATAACCTGCCAACTATTCTACATTGAAAGACTGCTCCTATTGGGCTGGGTCCATTTTCCTTGCACGTGTACCGTGCACAGGTGGCTGACCAAGTCTTCCCCCAACCCTTCCCAGATGTTCTTCAGGGGCTAGACGGCTTGCCGTTGGGGCCAAGAAGAAGCTTAGCACCCTGCTTGTCGATGCTGGAGTTGATGCTGTCTGTGTCCTTCTCCTGCTCAGGGACACAGGTGCAGCCCACTGGGATGGTGACATAGTCCTCCATGTACACTGAGCGACCGCCCGCACAGGCAGAGGTCCGGCGCAGGATGACAGCAGGCATGTACACTGGGGTGCTGCGGAAGTGGAAGTCCTCCTCCCCAAAAAGCCCAGTCAGGCAGCCCCGGCACAAGCAGTAGGCTTCAGGCAGGTACCTAGGGAACCTTGCCGGGTCATAGGAAATTCTGAAAAGAGAGATTGAGGGATTAATTTGTGATTTGGGGGCACACACATGGAGAAAGGACAGCTTCTACAAGGTTTGTGCTTCTGAGACCAAACACCAGAAAAAAGGTGGGGAGCATAGCAAACACTCTGTTGAAATAATTGATTAAATGAAATGGGTTGAGGAGGAGGCTAGGCCTTACATCTGACATCTTATCATACAGTTAGTGTCCACTTGAGGCCCCACACTGAAATAGATACACTTGAGCTTTGTTATATTTTAAATGCTAAAGACAGCATTTATATCTATCCTTGAGCCAACCCATAAAATTAACCTAAAGTCTGCAATAATGTAAATAGAAAAAAAATTCTAGGCAGCCTGCACATGTGACTACAGGGGCCAATGGAATAGAAAGAGACCCAGTGTCTGCTTGGGGCCACCTCTGGGGCCTCTCCACTGGCCAGTCACAGAAGATGCGCAGGCTGGTACAGATGCCATGAAGGGGAGACACTGATGCAGAACCACAAGCAAAGGCAACTGCAGGACACCTGTGTTGAAGTGCAAGGTGACTGTGTCCATCTGTCTGTTTGGGTCCATATGCCTTTCTGTTTGAAGGGACCCACATGGCACAAGGAGAGGGCAGGACTGGCTGGCCTGGGATATTCAAAATCTGGTTTAAATTGGATAAATTTCATTCTCCTTCCAGTCTTCCTATTTTGGGATCAAATGCCAAGAACATGTTGTCTGACTGCCTGTAACAAAGACTCAGTCTCTTCACTTTTGCCTGAACCTCTGCCTCCATTTTGCATCTGTCTCTTTTGCTATGAGTTGCCTTGGATTCTAGGAACAACAGGTCCATTATGGTGGTGTCCTTTCAAAAGCTCATGTGTGAGTTAATGCAAGAAGGTTCAGAGGTGAAATGATTTAGTGATGAGCACTGTAACCCAATCAGTGGATTAATCCCCTGGTAGAGATTAATTAGGTGGTAACCTAGGTAGGCAGGGTATGGCTGGAGGAGGGTGAATACTGGGGGAGTGGGGAGGGCATGCCTTTGAGGTTCATATTTTATCTCTGGTAAGCACAACTCTCTGCCTCCTGGTGGCCATGTACTGAGCTGCTTTCTTCCTTCACACTCTTCTGCCATGATGTTCTGCCAGACCTCGGGCCCAGAGCAATGGAGTTGGCCGTCTATGGACTGAGACCTCTGAAACTATAAGCCCCAAATAACTTTTCCTCCTTACTTTGTTCTTGTCAGGTCTTTTTGGTCACAGAAACAAAAAATCTTACTAAAACAAGTTCTGATTGATAAACATCTTGTAATGTCCTGGAACCACTCCCCAGGCAACAGTAACTGTCTTATCACCAACCTGCAGAATCGGGTAAGAATGGACAGTCCATGCCTGATCAAGATCATCTGCTTTAGTAGCTGCATAGAACCTCTGGCTATGCAAAGCCCCAATAGTTGCCCTCATTTCCCTTTCTATTAACATCAAAGTCATTGTCAGTCCCCTGCAGACAGGGCTAAAGTTGTGGGTCCCCTCATCTTCCTAGTGTAAATGTACTGATTAAAGTTTTTTTCCTGCTTTTCACCATTACTTTTCTGCTTAGTGTTTGGGGCAAGCGGCTGCACCTTATTTGTTGGACCCCAGAGTCAGGCCTCTGGCCTAGGATTCTGGTAACATGCCCTGGACAGAAAGGTCAGACTGTGTGGTCATTTCTCCTCTTTTCCTCATGGCCCATTCCAGCCTGTCTGCAAAGAAAGAGTCAGGAGCTAGGAGCTGGGGACGGGTTAGTCTGCCTGTGTTGGCTTCTGACCTCACAACCCAAGGTCAATTCAAGACCCTAACTTAACATTTGAAGGAAAGACATTTATAGTTAGTATTCACAATATCATTTTCAACATTTATCCACTGAATATCTGAGGGCTTTTTCAGGCAATAAGGATATAGACAAAACACATACCCACTATCCAAGATTCACAATCTGGAGGGAGACATACTAATAAAAGAAGTTCACCTGGCCTGTGAGAGGCTTTAGGAAAAGGTGGCTCTTGACTGGATTTATCTACATGAAGAAATGAGAAAGAGCATTTGGGATGGAGGTCAAAGTACAGGATAGAGGGAGTAGGTACAGGTGGGAGGTACAAGTTGAGAAGGTCACAGGGATGAAGAAAGCTGCACCTTGTCAGGAATGCACATCCATCAGGAATTCTGGTCTGACCCTGAAGGCAACAGGATGGGAAATGACCTGAACAGATGGATGGTTAGAGAGATCCCTTCATCTCTGGGGAGGAACAGCATCTGGGGCCCAAAATGGGGATCTTAGCTGAAGCTAATTTTGAATTGTTGGTATATGGATGGTGATTAAGAGGAGCATGTGAGGGAGAACAGAAGGAGTAGAGGTCACCAACTTTGAGGGAAAGAAATCTGAGTGTGGATACTGTGACATCCTTAAGGCCAAGAAAGGCAGAGGCTGGAGAGAGAAGTGGTCAAAAGCTGAACTTGAATTGGAACCAGTTTATCAGACATGGGGATGGAAAGTCTCAGACTGTGTGTCATTACTATAACAATCTGCCTGGGATTGGGTAATTTATAAAGAATTTAGTTCATGGTTCTCGAGGCTGGGAAGCCCAAGAGCTTGGAGTTGGTCTCTTCTCAGTATCTGGGGAGGGCCTCATGCTGCATCATAACACAGTGCAGGGCAGCACATGGTGAGACAGAGCAAGGGCGCCCACTCAAATCTCTCTTCCTCTTCTTATAAGGAAGAGGAAGCCCCAGGAAGCCCCAGCTCGTGACCTCATCTAACCCACTTCCAAATGCTACCAACCTGTGAGTTTGGGAATTAAACTTCCAACAAATGAACTTTGGGGAACACATTCAAACCACAGCAAAGCAATATGAATGTGGGAAACTTGATAGGTTTTCCAAGAAAAACTAGGAGGGAACCTACATATTAAAAGGGCTTGAGAGAGGGACACAAACCCCAGGGGCATCACTGCCCTGGTGCAGTGAAGACTCATTGAGCCTCTGCTCGTTCCCATGTGTTTCTGTCTCAGGAATCAATTATATGGTTGCTTTAAGAACTTATCAAATCCAAACTGAGGCACATCCCACAAAACAACTGATCTCTGTCCTGGGGTAGAGAAGAGGCATTAGGAGGGCACTTTGAATGAAGTCTGCAGATTAGATAACAGTGTCCTATTTATGTTCATTGCCTGATCTTGATTAATTTGCTGGCTATTGATGTTGCCATTTGGGAACACCTGGGTAAAGGGTGTATGGGAATTTCTTGTCCTAATTTCACAACAGTTTTGGTACTTTGAACAGTTAAAAATAAAGAGGAAAATTTTAAATTTCAAAAACGTCCCTGATGGAGAGTGATCAGGGAAATCGGAACCTGACTGAGTATGTAGATATTAGGGAAGTATTAATTTTAAAGTGTATTAATGCATTGTGGCTTGACAGCGCCCTCACTTGAAGATGTGCACACTAATAGAGACTGCTGAACACTGGGGAAGTCACTGGGTACCCTCTGGGTTTGGCCAACAGGAGATGGTGATATGGTAATAAGCAGGGCACAGATTTGGGCTGTGCCCTCCAGGAGTGCACAGGTCTGTGGGCAGGACAGGCTGGCATCTGTCAGCTCCATGTGATACCAGGTTCAGGGACTGTGGCCAGTCCCAGTGTGTTAGTCAGCTTTTCCTCACTGTGACCAAAATATCTGATAAGAACAACCTAGAGGAAGACAGGTTGGTTTCACAGTTTCAGAGGATTAAGTCCATGGTCCATCAGCTCTATCACTCTGGGCCTAGGTGAAGCAGAACATCATGATGGGAAGGCATGACAGAGAAAAGCTGTCAGCTCATGGCACAGGGAAGGGAGGGAGGGCAGGTGAGGAAGGGAGGGAGGGAAGGGGGAAGGGGTGAAGGGGAAAAGAGCGGGAGGGGGGAGAGAGAGAGGGAAAGAGAGTGTGTATGTGTGCATGTGTGTGTGCGTGTATAAGGGGTAGGCATGCCCTCAGAGACTTACTTCTTCCAACTAGTAGTCCATTAAACCAGTAGTCCATTCGACCATCAGTGGATTAATCTGTTGATGACATCAGAGCCCTCAGATACAATCACTTCCCAAAGCCTCACCTCTTGAACATTGCTGCATTGGAGACCAAGTCTTCAACACATGAGCTTTGGGGGGACATTCCAGATCCAAACAATAGCACCCTATGAGGGGTCTGAGGAAATGATCTACATACATTGGAGATGAGGATAAAAGACAAGAGGGCTAAGCAAAGAAGAGAGCTCAGGGACCTGCAAACACGAAGCAGCAACACACACCTGAGCCAGAAAACAGATGACTGCAGTGGGTGGGAAACTGCAGCTGGAGTGATATGTGAGTGTGACTGTGATAACTTGTGTGTGAGCATATCCAAGTGTGAGCATGTCATCATGTGATATAAGCATTGCATACCTGAGCATGTGTAAGCATGTGTGAAAGAGTGTGGGTGTAAGCATTTGCATGTGTGAGTATAAACAGCATGTTTATGGGTATATGTGTGTGTGATGGGTGTGAATGTGAGGGCACATAAGTAGGTGTGTATGAATGTGTGTGAGCATGCACGGGCACAAGCATGTGTGAATATGAAAAGTGAGAGTTTATGTGTGTGAATGTGTGGGGGTGTCATGTGAATATCGAGTGGGAGAACGTGTGTGGGGGGGTAGCGATCTCATGAGAAATTCAAGGTGGAAGCGGAGCAGAAAGTGGAGATTGAACCCTGCAGCTCCTGGGAACCAGGAATGGAGGATGAGTTGCCCAGCACAGTTGAGATTCCTGGAGGAAAGTTACCCAACAGCAAGACAGAGAGTAAATTACAGGAGCACTGGAGGGCTGGGGTGCATTAGGTGCTATCCCCCAGGCTGGTTTCCTCTTTGGTGATGTCGGCTTGACCTGCTGGCATCGACCATCCCTTTCAGTTTCACTTAAGATTTGTCTTTCTGTACAATGTGGTGTCTAGGTAGCTACTCAGGTC